GCTAGATCCAGCATGTGATGCAGTCGGGAGGTAGGGAGGGGGGGGGTAAATATTGCGGTTCATGGCACGAAACTCCGAGACCATAGCGACGGGCTGCTTATCAATTCAAGTGGGCTTGTGAGTTGCAACCGATATTTTTTCTAATTCGTTCACATTCAGTTCTTTTTCCGCATTTACGTTAGAATTTGACTGCCTAATTCGTAAATGCCATGAGGTTGTCATGTTTTTTTGTTCTATTCGGTTGCCACGCTTAGTGACAGCACCATCTCGCGTTCAGTTGGACTAGAAAATTGTGGTAATTGGACCGCGCAAATTTCACCCGATTCTGCGGATATGTCGGTTATTTTGCGACCCTAAACAGATTGAGGTAGCTGACCAGTAGCATTCAACAGGTTATGAAATAGACTGTTGCCTGTTGGAGGCGTGATGTCATACCAGATCGAGCATTGCTTGCGCGGAAACGTTTAATTATCCAAAAGAAAGGACTCTTTTTCTTCTCTACCACTTTATCTCTCCAGTCGCTCATTCTTATGTCATGCTTGGTGGTGAAAAGTTTTGATTTGCAGATTTATGTCCATTGTCTGACCGGCTCGTGAGTCTAAGTATTGTCGGGAAATGGTATAGGCCGCGTAAACGGTTTGTCACCCGATGTGATGGTTAAATGAACGTTCGACAGTCTCGCCTCTTGATGATACTTTTCCGAATGCCCACTGTCTCGGCCGACAACGAAAGTGTGACTGAGCTTCCAAACCTCGGTTATTTGTCAATGCATTTAATTGCTTAGCCAAAGTACAACTTGCAAACTGGCATACCGTTGAAGATTTATGCAAACACTGCCTAGAAGCGCACATCTCCACTGGCAGGATGTGAGGTTATATGTCCCTTTTAATGATTCACGTCTACGAGGGTCGTCACTGCTATCATACTATTCGCGTTAAAATAACGAAGCATACTCACTCGACACATCCTTTAAAACTGTATGATGACGTAAAATTTGATTGTGTTATTATCCTTTACCAGGAGAAATTGTTGGAATGGTTAAAATGTCGCCCCGCAGCATATACTTCCTTCTCAATAATTTTGTTCTCGTCAAGAAGCGGCCAAGTGACCGCAAATGAATGTTAATTTAATCATGGTAGTAACATTGCTATGTGCAGTATATACATATATATGCAAAATGACATTACCGCCAAAGACAAGGGAGACCGGAGTGGCCATTTCTGGTTTATCAGCCGTCATCAGCCAGACGTACCCCGCCCCAAGTGTGGATCACTTAAGAATCGAACTCGGGATGTTTGGTCATGGAGTTTGTCATTGTAAAGTGGTCCACACTTGGGGTTGGTTACGACTGGCTGATGACGGATAATAACCCAGAAATGGCCATTCCAGTCTCCCTTGCCTTAGTCAGTATCACCTCATTTAGATCTAATACTAGTCGCTTTGCGACTGCCTGCGAGTATGAGCCCCATAGCACAGTGGGACGGACATGCCCCGTAACCAGATCAGTGGTCGTCCATCTGTCATATATATATATATATATATTATGAATCTCAAGTGATCCACACTTGGGGTTGGGTATGACTGGCTGATGACGGCTAATAAGCCAGAAATGGCCATTCCGGTCTCCCTTGTCTTTGTCAGTACCACCTGATATATATATATATATATATATATATATATATATATATATATATATATATATATATATATATATATATATATATATATATATAGCAGTCAGGGGGACGACAAAAAATGTGGATAGATTCTTACAATACCGTCTTCGGCTTATTTTGCCTTAATTCAGCGAATCATAACCCTGACCACCAGCAGCTGGGACCAGAACCACAAACATGCACACAGACACACCTGGCGCAGTTGGCCCACCACTGTAGCCTATCAGATGGGTCATAGGCACTTCATCGGACCGAAGTTCATCAGTGTGTCGTCACCTGTCATTCTCTGTCGCTGCAGCTTAAGCATCTATTCAATCAGGAATAGGCGCACACCGACGTTGGCCTGGTAGGTGGTTGCCGGTTCGTGACCCCTATCGCCCATACGAAGCATGTTTGATTCGGGTAGTCAATGGACCGGTGTGTGCCCATTCCTGAGTGAGTATGTATATGTATATTAAGATCGCAGCACTGTCTGACAGGGCTCACATGTGTTTGCATCTTTGCTGATTGCGCAACTTCTCTTAGAATGGTAATGCATGAAAATCCGAGTACGTCGGCGAAGTCGTACAGCTGGTCTGCTGTCGACTTTGTTGTTTAATTCGTCGGCGGTCTCTAAGGCACCACAAGACAGCACAGGTGTTCCATAGATGTTCATGGATGTTTTGGCAGATTTTGAATAATTCGTATTGACCCAACTGTGGAAAACTCGGTGCCTCGGTGGGATTCGAACCCACGCAGTGTTAAAACTCGAGTCTTCCGGCGGGGCCTCGTAGCACAGGTGGTTAGAGCGTTGGCTGTACTAAAGCCTTCCCCTTACTGCGTGGGTTCGAATCCCACCGAGGCACCGAGTTTTTCACAGTTGGGTCAATATGAACACATGTTTAATTTATTTTCAGTGAATTAACGGTATTGTCAGGCAGGACTTAAAAGTTCAAGTTCTCATGCTTATAACATTGTGCGGCTTATCATTTGGATGTTAGAAGGGGCTGTTAACATATGTAGACAGGCTATTCGCAGATTATCCTCAAAGTGGTTCCGCACTGCACACACTGCGTTTTACTGTGGATCTACGTCAAATTGCAGTGGACATTTGCGTTTCGACCTCGCTAGATAATTCCTCAGCAGAAATCATCCGTCCAGGCTCTGCACCTACCGGTGTTCGGATGGAATTGAGTAACTGATTGCCTTCCCCCTGTCCCCTGTTTATAGTTTCCGTAGGGGTCGACGCAGTGGGAGGGGATAACTGGGATGGCAATGACGACTGACCTGAGTGGTGCAATTATCACCCACGTATGTTCTGGTGTTAATGACGCTCCCCAGTGACCGAGTTTGTTACCGACCTTGCCCTTCCTGACCCGTTTTGACTTTTCCTGCTGGTTTACTTAACAGAGCTAAAGTTTTATTAGTTTTTTTCATATACTTTATGTCCGTGTTCTTACGACTAGTCAGGGACGGCAGGCATCTTCTTTAAAGGAAAGCCCGTTAAGACAGCAATTCCATTCGCAGTATGCATACGAACAGACTTCTGGGTTCGCGAACACTGGGTAAAGAGATCGCTCCGATTAGTTGGCCAGATGTTTGACCGGCCTAGAGGCTAAACTCATGGTTTGGCCCCAACCGATGTCAACGATCTGTATTAACGCTCTCGTCCTTAAAGCCAAAAACATCAGCCTACGTAACAGACATTGGAATGGGATGCGACAGACACAATTAGACCAAAAGAAACGAGAATTTCTTCGCTTTAGAAATTGTAACTCATTAAATTTTGCTTTACCATTTCAAACATATTTAATTTTTCCTCTTATAGGGATTCCGAGCCCGAATGACACCACCGACTGGCTATTTGTTTCGATTGAGCATTTGCCCACCGGAAACTTTAAGTTCTAACTTTCCTCTGCAATATCTCATTTTTGAATGAAGGCGAAAGGTAGTGTTCCAGTTGCATGTATAAGTAAAGAAGGGTAATCGAGCACAGGAATATTCCGTTTATTGTTCTGCGTTTTCGAACTCTTGCGGGAGTCCATCGTCAGAGATAGTAGCAACAACAGAACAATCGGCAAATATAGGCCATGCTGGCTAATCATCAATCAGTGACTTAAGACTGGAGGTGACTGCTCGGGACTTTGTACACCGGCTCCAGATCGATTGACTAAGTTCTCATCTGAGGCCCGGGCTTCAATCAATTCTTGGCCTGTTCCGTTTCAGGCATGGGCGATTATTTTGGTGGCCGAGAGGTTAAAATCATGACTCATTTCGTAGGTGTGGGCGGCCTTTTGTGGTAATGCGTCTCCTCGTCGCACAGCCAGCTTATGTTCGTGTATGTGGGATCCGAGCATGCGTCCAGTCTGAACTGTGTGGCCGCAAGAACAGTTTTGGCACGGGATGCGATACACCATTCCAGACTGTTCCTCAGGCTTTAACCGCCAAACGCTCGTATCGGAAACAAAACAGGCCGAGGACTGATTGAAGCCTGGGCCTCGGATGAGAACTCAGTCAGTCGATATATGGACCTGGCGCCGGCGTACAGAGCCCTGCGCAGTCACGTCTAGTCCCGAGCCGTCGATCGATAATTGGTTAGCTTGGTTTATAGTTGCCGCCTGTTCTCTCATTGCAACTATCTCTGATGGCGTACTCCTGCACGACTTCGAAAGTTCAAAACAATAAGCAGAATGTTCCTGCGCTCTACGAATCTTCATCTTCTTTATTTATATCTCGTTCGGTTTGGCCGATCTTTTAAACTGGGCTGTCACTTTTTGTCCCACTCACATTTGGCTGTTCTATCGCTTTGGACATCATGAGTCCACTTTCCAGTCTTTAGCCACTATTTAATGATGTTAGTAGAAATTAAAGCCGTCTATTGAAGAGGTCAGCACTCCTCCGAGGAGTCTGAGGGGACGAGGTACCAGATCAGGCAAATGTAGGCTGGTCCGTGCAGTACTTACAGCCTATACGGGTGACAATTGTGTGCGCACTCATTGATCCTCCTACGAGTTGTCTTGCCTCATTCTCACCATCGGTCGTTTGTCGCTGGTTGTAAGGACGTTATTGGTCATTTGGATGTAGGTGTCAACGGAATAAACTGAATTTCACTCCGCCTGTTTTCATTTTTATGCGAGTGTTCCTTCACTTATATATATACCTGATCCCCAAATAAAAGCTTTAACTCCCACTATTTAATAGCTTGTTCTGTTTCGTCACGCCGTTCCATTTTTCCAAACAACAGTCAACTTATAAAATTGAAGAAAATTTATTGGATTGTACACTAAAGAATTAGTTCGAACAGGATGCCACTGCATACACGAATTGGACAAGAACATGATATATTCACATCAGCCCAGCCAGATCATTCAGTCCCTCCCGGTAGCGGGGGTCCTTAGCTCGTTGGCTGCGAAGGTGGGAATGCCTTCCCGGACGTGTTTGATGGCCCATGGATTTGTGCGCATGGCCAGACGCTGGACGTAGTACTAGGGGCGAATGCTCCTTCTTCCTTTCATGATGTTCCTCGTCAGGATAATGTGATCTTCCGTAGTCATGATCTGGTTCATGTCCGCCCCAGCCTCCCGGATGACCGCCACCGCGACGGTGCGGTGAGACGTCAAAATCATCGTCCACTTCCTCGTAGGCATCGTAGTCAACTATAGGGGGTTTGAAAAGGCGCGTTCAGTCAGCGAAATCGTAGAAATGTACATATAAACAGTGAAGAAGACAGACAATGACTAGATCGGCTCGGATGGTCAGTCATAAGTAACTCGGGGTCTAAACAAGGTGAGATTTGAACCCGGACTCCATGGTCAAGGAACATTAGGTCCAATTCTCTACAGCGAAGCTTTGGCTAATTACCCAGTCGGTTGCGACAGGGGCGAGCCTGTTTGATAACCCTATTGGCGAACAGCCGTCTCACGATAGTTATTATGCCCGATAGCAGCTCGCCAGACAGCGAGTCAATTGCTTGATTGCGAAACGTTGGAACAATGAACGCCCAATTATTAAATAATCCAAGTTGGTGTCTAAATAACGCACACTTGGGGCTGGGCATGGCTGTCTGACGAAGGCTAATGGGTAAGGATCGGGTAAACGCAACCAAGCATCTGTGGCATACAAAAATACCTACTTTATTTACTTAAGTATGTTTTAGTCCGACAGGGTTATTTTGGTTTGGTGTTTCCTCGTCTGTTATAGACGACCTGGTGCCTTATCTGCAATGACCTCAGCTCAGAGATTTGAAAAGCGATCGTTGTAGACACTTAATGTTCATTTCTCTAATTGTCCTGCTTAATTTCGGTTGATATATGTCAATTCATTAAAACTTTTCCCTCCAAAAAGGGATTTACCAATTATCTATACTTATTTTGCCATTCCTATATGCATACATAGGTCCCGACGGTAAAACCCTTTTGACCACCTTTTCCCGTAAGAGAGGCACCTTTGGTTGGTCGTGTGTGTTTTTTTTTCTTATTTTTTTGGAGTCGTTCACCCGATCCTTACCGGTTAATAAGTCAAAAATTGCCATCCCAGCCACTCTTGTCTTCGTCAGTACTCTTCCCTGCATCATCACTGATCGTTTTGCGACAGCCTGCAGGACGAACATGGCCAGTAACCTTACCGGTGAGCGACCATTCCATAATGTACATATAAGCAAAGATTATTCAACACAATGTTCTGTTGGTACAGGCAGGGAACAATCGACTACGGAGAAATCTTATACCCACCGTACTCGGTATATGAAAAATAGGATTAACTGGCAAGCCATGGACTTCATCGTGTCCCTTGACCATGCGTTTTCTAGTCCGGTGGAAGGAACTGTTAAGGGCTACCGAAATATACGCGGAGGGAGTACTAACAAGGGTAACGGAAATTGGTATGGCGATTTCGGACTTTTAACCATCGTCAGTCAGACATACTCAGCGTCAAATTTATATGAGCTGAGACTGAAACTGGAATTCTCTAGTCAGTGGGCGTTAGGTTCACCGGTCAAAATCCAAACGTAAATTCTATCTAAAAGTCCAGTCCCATGTTTCAACTTTTTTTCCTAATGAGGTATGATTTTAAAATGGCTTATTCCTCCCTCTAAGTCATTACCCAATTTATTTGAGAAATTAGTAGCATAATATATTTTTGAGCCACTTCTGGAATTGGCCAACACCAATCTTGCTGCTTCTTTTGAATGCTAGAGCTGCGTTCTGAAACTATTTGCCAGAAAGCCAGATGCCTATATGCCCCTATGTGACGCACAAGGGGCCTCTAGACTGGGACAGCAGCCGATGCTGTCTTGTTAGTGGCCCTATTGGCCAATCAAACCACGGATCGATACATGTGATAAGTAAGCCTGAGGCGGTTGCTCTTCCAGTCTGCACGACCCTTGTCAGCCGCTCCTCCGATATGAAGGATACAGTGAACAGCCGCTCTTTGAGTAAGCAGACCTGAGTCTCCAGTCCATCTGACTCAAATGCCCTACAAAAGACCGACCCGACTTCAACCATTAGGCCTGTCCTACTCGATGTGGGGATTTTACCGACACAAATAGGCCATAGCCGTCCTCCTTGCGGTCTCATAAACTTCAATTCGTTCAAACAAATTTCACTGCCCGTTGGGGAAACAATGACTTTTTGACGTTTTTGACGAAAAAATAAGGATAATTAGTTTGCAAAAATATTAACTTACAGTTTTCATGTCCCAGGGAAGCAACGATACACAGTGACAATAGAAGAATCGGCTAAAATGTAGAAAACAGATTTTAACCGACTTAGGTGCCTGAAAAAGGCTCATTGTTGGATAACAACAACGGAAAATCTAGGTCTTAATAAGGCAGAGAATTCATGATGAATGCCCGATGGTCTTTTTGGTGATGCTAAATTTTTACTTATTTATAATCATGAAGATATGTGCACATATATGTAAGCACATATAAAGCTGCTCTAGTAAAATAGGAGACGCCTGTTTTTTTCTATCACAAACATAAAAACATTTAATCTTTTCTTTATAAGTACCATTGATAACGCTGGAGGCCAAAAGCCTGAAAAAAACAAAATACTGCAATATTTTCCGAGGAGATTGGCTCCATACACTCTTCATTTCATATGCATACTGAACATGCCAACTCAGCCCATACTAGTAAGCACTATGGCGTTTACCAGCTAGCAATAAGATGAGCTAATATACTTCATTTTGAAGTGCATAGGTTGCATTTCAGGCGCAAGATATGCCATACAAAGAGGTACATATTTTTTTCTACTGGAAAGCATGCCTATTTGAATAACCTATGTAGTCCCCAGGGGGCTTTTAATCTTATGCAAAGCTAAGTAATCACACCAGAGAAGACCGGTACGAGTGCGTTTGTCGTAAGACGTTGTTGATACGAAATATGCAGGCTAAAATGAATTCAGAACACTTAGGTCACTTAATTTTAGTGGATTTTTCATGACAGCTCCAAGCACGTTCTATAGCAGCATATTACGAGGTATATTTTGTCTTATCTAGAAATCCGGAAGGTAACTACCCTTTCTGTTAGTTGAAATATTAATCTTTATAAAAGTCTCCTTTCCTGCAAAAACGACGGTAAAAAATTAAGTCTATATAGATACTCTCTGGGTTAGGTGAGTAAGGATTAATATGAATATGAATTAATATATGAATATGAAAAATCCGTGAGACTGTTCATCCCACCAACAACATTGTTCGACACCGAGAGGTGGGAGCAATAATTCTCAGCTAAACGTCGCTTTTTGCGAACTGCAACTAGGCAAAACAAAAAAGTGCTGCATAAAATTAAGGAAGGGGTGAATTCAGGGGAGACAGTATCTGCCGTCGTCAAGTGATTTTGCGGCTGTTTAGATCGGCTACCTGTCCGTACATATTCTAAACACTGGATGAGGTGAATGCGTGAAACTTTATCTTTTATAGACAAATCAGATATTCTTATTTGACGATCAAGGGCCAGAGTTTTGAACCTTTTTGTCTATAATGGAAGCAAAAATGTTACGTCAGAGAGCATAGCCCGTTCACTTCACTGGACGTGTAGTTGCTTGAAGCCTGCATACATATTCAAGGACTTCGACAGATATTTCCCAAGTTTTGTAAGTGTACTTTTAGCACCAAAAATATTTTCCCTGATTCTCAGACGTAAACACTGCTATTCTCCGATTCTCTTGTAGAATTCCAATTATGCAAAGCTGTGGGCCTTTCAAGGGGATTCAAGGTCATTTAAGAGAAAACAGCTTTGTGTCCTCCTCGAAACTTTAAATATTACCATGCCGAGTCCTATACCTAGAACTATGAGCCCAGTTGTCAATTTCGTTCAGACGTTTTTAAAAAAAGGCAACTTTGATCTCTTGCTCCACAAAAACTGGTATAGAGAGTATATAAAAGCACGACCGTGCCGACGTCTTGCATAATGTGCTTGAGTGACGTAGGAATGTTGCTCTAGTCAGGTTAAAAAAATCAGTCCTCCGCGAAGTGGTCGGAGAGTGCTGCTAGCCGGACTTACCGTCATGGTGTTCTGAAGAAACTAGTCTAGCGAGCTCACTTTTGTCCATCCTTTAAATGCTGGTGTGGTGACATGGGGTGTGAGTGCGTGCATGCATGTGCGCCTCTCAGTGATCGTCCCGTCCTGAGGACGCACAGTGGGGGGGGGGCTGAGAGACGTCAACAGGAGCTTGTGGGGTGGAGGTGTCTGCCGAACAGAATTCCACTGTCCGCATCCGCCCCAGACTCCAAATCCCTACCCCCAAAATGGGATTACTTCCGGTGACGATAGGCTTCAAAAGCCAGAAGCGCGAGATTGCTCTGAGGGCGGATTTCAGCGACGATCACCATCATTATCACCCATCATTCTGACCGGCAGGCCATGCCGCCCATCTCTAAATCCTCGAATTCGCGTGAACCTTCCTGGCACAGATAAACCGGGTTTTGGACACTCATTAGGATGCTGGCAAGGCAATTAAAGTGTAGTATTACAAACAATCCGAGCGTCGGCCGGAAATTTCACAAGGAAAGCTAATTAGCTGGTTGTAGATCACAAATGATAGACGAGTTATTTTACACAAGTTTTCCCAAAGACCGAGGCTGATTAATAGTTGATGATGCAGAAACGGACACCGAAATACTGCCTATTATCTTAATCCCGACGAACTGCTTAGTAAAAAGTTACATGGATAACTTATCATTTGTTTACGTATCAAAATTAAACAGAATAAAATGGAGAGAAACTACGGAAAAAAGATATTTCATTAGTACTTCGCATTTTCTGTGCTCCTAATGGCTAAATCAAGCATACATTTTCATCAGATCATTGCATCAAATAGTGACACTTTTTTAATGGGACGGAAGTTAATACATGTCATTTTTATTTGTTTTAAAGTAACTATATATCATATTTTATTCAGAGTATTTTCCGTTGGCGCTTACAGCCTTTTCACATCTTTTGAGTAAAAAGTAAATTCCATGGGAGAAAAACTACTGGTCTTTGGAAACAACCCATTGATCGACGCAATTATCGACCGCTTATAGAAACTGAAGCCCTGCTTAACAAGACAATGTTACACCTACAAAAACAAATAATTATCCGATGGAACAATGCCTGGTGAAGATGGCGGATGGGAAATTACTTCCCCATAAAGTGAATCCAAAGTTTGTCTTCCTCGTTGTGCAGAGTGGGACCCATCATTTTCGTGTTACAAAATTACTTTGGCATGTCTTCCGTCATATTTTGGCTTTTGTGTGCATGGTTTGACCCAAAAATTTTGATACTGCACGGCAATAACATCTTTAAATGACATCAGCAACTCATGGCGCCACCAGCTGCTCATACTCCGTGTGCTGGGCGTCGTCCAGAGATTTATACCTTAAGGAGTATCGTGACAGATCAAGTTTTCGCTCTTAGCCACGATGCGTTGCAAAATTGAGTATCTTTAAGTCAATATTATACCTGTATTTTGTGTTTTTCTTGCTTTTTTTCCAGTCGATTCATACGACACCCACCCCGTTGTTGTTTTACTATTTTCAATGCATGTAAATGTTTGCCAACAATGGGTCCATCAACTCTTGGTACTTCTGACATTCCATTAAATGTGTGACATGCGTCGTAATCGATTAAATTTGCGGTTTTTTCATTTTCAATTTTCTCGGCTGTCCTAAATATTCGCTATCTTCTGCGTCAGAATCAGCGCTTGTGGTGCATTCGACCCTTTTCTGCATACACTTCCAGAGAGAGCATGTTTGTCTTAAGCTTCCTTAAGTAAACGTTGACTTCTGACAGCATTTCCTTCAAATTAAAACAAAACGAAATGCTTCTCGCATATGAAGCCTTTGGGGAGAACAACAAAACAGTATTTTTATCGTTTCAGCCAGGTCATACACTAAATGTGACGATTTTGCCTAAGTATATGTGATGTTTGTGTTGCCGAGTATGACGGTTTAAATGTAATACCTGTTAAAACATTTGTAAAAGCCCATACGACATGATCCACGGTCTCCCGTCAGTTAAGCGGGGCGCTTCTTTATAACGTTACCAAACCTTCTGCCTCGTTGAAAACGGCAATTCCCACGTGAGAGTAAAGTGACTGGCCAGGGACTAGTTCTATTTCCCAAGGTCCTATATTTGCACTTTCCTGTTGCGACCTATGCTGTTATTTTCGGTCACAGTAGCGGATAAAACAGATCACCTCATCTTTGTGCATATACGTCAAGAGATACGTCGATCACGTGGCCAAACCGTCTGAGATTCACCTACAAAACCACCACACGACGTCAATGCAAGTTCAGAATCTGGTTACTGACGCTAATTTGGGTGTGATCACGCCGTTAATGCGCGAGAAGTCATCTGACCCACCTCTAAGACTTGCGCAAGCTGGTTCAGTTTTGCACAACAAGTGTCCGATGCCCTTCAACACGATAAACGAACAATCAGATCTGTTGTATAACCATAGGAAGCGCACGAAACCTCAACCAGTGTGGCCTTTATGTGTCCAGACTCGACTGACCAGGCGAGAAAGTACTTTTTGTAAATGCTCACCCTGAACACGTAGCGGATGTGTGCACAAACGACATCGACTAGCCTCTGTTTATAATCTGAACCACATGTCTCGTGGGACATCCAGAAATCCGCACATATCAGTGACCTGCCTTTCGATTTTCGAACCTTGCTGCTGCAAATTACACAAGTCATTAACCAAGGGTAGAAATGCCAGTTATGGTCGGTGGGAGAAGAATCTTGTTCGCCCGTCGTCAATTAACAAGTGCAACGTCCCCCTCCTTTCCAGTTCCGGTGCTGAGGTTTTGTTTGGGCTGAGTAAGTGACCAAAAGGTGAGCACAGGAAACGAACATTGATCCCAGTGACAGAAAAAAGAGCTAAGTAATTATCGAGTCAATAATTGGCGTTGAAGATGCAGTTGTAGCAAGCAGGACTCGGATACGAACGATCGAAGTGACTCATTCTGATGGTGGGCCTACATTCTTTTTTAAACCATTGCAGTCTCATTTCCTCATGCTAAATACTGTTTTTCACCTAAACAACCTACTCGCGAGCTTTTGAAATTAAGCCGCCATTTATTCTGCTCTCCATTCACATGGGAACTCTCTTGTGTGTGTGTGCATCTGTTGGGTTATTTTACTCCCTACATGCTGATTTTCCCTCTCTTTTTTTTATCTGAACAACAGTAATACGGTCATCTGCACGCTGAATTAGCACGAATTTTAAGGAAGTTAAATCTAACATGAATTTCGTAACTTTTCACGATGACAATAGTTATAGTTTCGGCCATTAAATACCGCTTGTGGCCTTCTGGCGTTAACAGTTTTTATGCCCAATTTAGTCACTGTAAATGGAGGCCAGTTTTGCTGAAATAATTTTAATAATCATTCCAAAATAAAACATATATAATGGTATAGGGACGCTCACCGATCGTTTTTTTATACGGAACCCACCCACCCATTGTTCCTTAAGGCTCAGTACTTAGAGATGATATACTTCTAACCAACCGGTCGCTGGATCGAGCACCTTCACACTTCTTGGTTGGGTGTGACTGGCTGACGACGGCTAATAAACCAAAAATGGCTATTCAATTCTCCGTTGTAATTTTGTAGTGCTATTCTGCCAGTATATGTTTACCGATTAGAAGTACCTGGTTCTAGGAAAGTACATACACTCCTGAATATGCCAATGTGCTAAGAGGAGACCTGATAGACAAGAGTCAATGTTTGCGTGTATTTAGAAGACAAAACCCTGTACCCTATCCGGAAACCTTAGGATCACACTCGAATATGCAATGAGCTTTTATTTTGCCAACTCGCTTTTAGGAGAGAAATATTTCAAATAATTGCGCTTTCGATGTAAAGTTAAACCCTGACAGATTTTCACATGAGTGAGTGATCTCAGTGTCCCAGGAATTTAAAACACGATTCTGAGACTTGTTTGACACTAAAATCGACACAAGATCAAGTCACACAGGAGGGCTAAGCCGAAAAAGACACCACTTTAAAAGGGTGCAGTCAATGTAAAGAGGATGCCAGACAGAAGAAGAACATTAATTCGTATTTTTGACTGTAAGTTTACAGATTATCGCCCAGCTATCCTCGGTAAGCCTATCGGATTAGAATAACCACGGCAGATGGTGTTTGACATTTAAGTAGCTAGAAGTTGTCCACTTTTTTAACCCTCTGGCTCACTTTAAGGTGAAATTTTCTTTTTGCTCTAAGGCATCATAATAAGCACTCGTTTTTTCCATTTTTTGGTCCCTTTTAAGCTATTCAAAATGCTTCGTGAGTGTGCGAATTAAGCGCAGCCAGCCGAAATACGAACTGTAAATTTCATTTGGCAACATTTTTGGTCTACTTACTAATAACATGGACGGATAAGAGAAACGAGAGGTCGGAAGTTGTAAGCAATCGAATACACAGGCAGATTCTGAGATGGCATCGCAGGACCGCCACTGCTGCTAAAGGATGCTGGTCACGGGGCCCGTAGAGTCGCCCTCAGTGTATATAAACTTGTAACTCTTGGGCGCAGACGTGAGTCACCTCCGTCCAGGCATTCGCTGGTTATGAGTTGACTGGGGGCTGCATGTCGTCCCTGAGATAACACCCGCATTTTTAAGAGTCGACTATTCTGGTGGAATTGAGTCTCATCGATGAGGAATTGCGGTCTGCGATTCCATGAGCGTTCCGACAAATGCGTGCCACCAGACATCGCTTGCCAGCTACAGTGGTCCTCCCCGAAAAAAGAACTTGATGGGAGGCAAGTTCGTCGTAGTTTTGCATAGACGTTGACGAAGCATGACTGTTGTTTAAATCGGACTTTTTCACATTCATCTTCTATGCTGGGGAGCCCTCATTTGTTAGTGCACGGTCTAACTTTCATGTCCACCCTGCATAGGTGAAACCATCTTTCCTCCACTCATTCCAAACGGCAGCAAGTTCCGCATGATGCAGGTTATACGGTGGAGTTTAATTCCTCCTTAACGCAGCAAGGAAGACCAACTGAGAACACTCATTCT